ACCCTAATCCTCATCTTAAATTTTTATACTTTTTTGGGCCATTCAAATTTCTCAATGAGCTTGTATAATTTTTACAATGATAGAAATAACAATATTTTCATTTGGGGACTGAAGGAAATTCAGGATTTTATATAAAAGGTATGTCCACAAACAGGAATAGTGGGACAAAACATCCTATTACAGGCTCCCCATTTAAATTTATGCCTCAAGAATATCAGAGGGACATGTTCAGGAGGGAAGAGCTCCAGGAGCACTTTTGGCAGATGATTAAGAGCACAGACCTCAGAGTGGACAAGCCTCTTTGTTCAGCATTTATAGATGTGTGAGCAAATTCATTTAACACTCAGAAAGTATTTATTCAGTACCTCCTATGTGTCAGGCACTGTTCTGGGTGCTGGGGACAGGAAAATTAAAAAAAAAAAGAACAACAAATAAAAAAGACAAAAAACATTTCTTTGTGGAGCCTACATGTTAATTACTTAGCATCTCTGACTCTCAGGTTCCTATTTCATAAACTGGGAATAATAGTTCCACCTGTTAAGGCTTTTGTGAAGATTCAGTAAGGTAATGTATATAAACCTCCAAGCAGGGTGCCTAGCATACAGACCAAACTCAAGAAAGTGGGAGCTATTATGTGCTAATATTTGCTCATTTACATATGATATTACTTTCAGTGACTATAAAACAAAGATGAAAAAGAGAAATTGTTAAAGCTTGTAAAATATTCATAAAAACCTACAGGATTGATACTATACTTTTTCAGATTACTAGAGTTTTTTTCACAGGCATTAGGTTCATTCTGACAGGTGGTAATGAAAGTTTGGTGAAAATTTGATGACAATCTATTGGATTGGATGGTTAATACTGAAGTTCTCTGAACTAAGCCAATACAGTGTGCCCACCAGGAAGGGAAAAAAAAAAGCCAAAGCTGTTGAATGCCTTTGTTATACAAAAAAAAACTAGTAGCCACATTTATTATTTTGGTATAACAAAGGCTGTATTAAAAGAGAGGGAAAATGTGATTGGATTGCAGAGCAAACACCTGCAAATTCATATCTAGATGCAAGTCATCATTCATAGAGGTGGCCTATGCTACTAATAGATTCTCATTATGCTCCTTAATCTCCACACTTCAATTTCCCTGTCTTTCAAAGAGGATAAGAATAGTGCCTACTTAGTGGCAGTGCCGGTGAGTTAACACATGCCCACCCCTCCACCATTGGCAGCGTCAGTTGCATAGCAAGGGCTATAGAAATGTCAGGCCACGGAGAAAGCATTCTCTGGAAGGGAGATACCTGGTGTGTTTGAGAAATAATGAGGAGACTGGTAGAACTTAAGCACAGTGAACAAAAAGGCAAGTGACAGATGAGGCCAAAGAGAGAGTAAGAGCCTGGCAGATCACTTAGTGATACAAGACTCAGAGAATGAATCACTCTGACTGCTGAGCTGAGAAGACACTGTAGGAGATGAGGGTCAAACAGGGGGACCTGTTGGGAGGCTCTAGCCACTGGGAGGTAAGAGATAATGGGGTCTCTTGGGATAGTAGAGGAAATGGAGAGAGGTGGTCAGATTCTATTTGGAAAGTTGAGCCTACTTTTCTATTGGCTGATGGTTTGGACGTAGGCTATGAGATAAAGAAGAAAGAATGGAGTTGCCATCAAAGGAGATAGTGAAGGCTATGGGGGATGGGGCAGTTGGGAAGATCAAAGGTTCAGTTTGGAACATGCTACATTTGAGATATCCACTAGACATCCAAGGGAACAGGAGCATAAAAAATACAGTTCTTCCAAGTGAACACCATGCTGGTTGGTTTCCTTAATTCTTGCATTCCTTTGACATGCAGTTATATGTGGTCACTGAATCAGTTTTTTGAGGCATATCATCACAAGGGTAGTGTAAATGGCACCATGGAAAGACCCTGGCCTTTGGGGGCAGGCAGGTTTGAATCCTGCCCCTTGACTCTTGCAGCTCTCTCTCTTGAGTCCTGCCCAAATAAACTCAGTGCACTTTAGGTTCTTCTTCTATCTGACTTGGATACTAATACCTTTCTTACAGGCTTGCAATGTTCAAACACAGATAATATATGCAAAGTGCCTACTCACAGTAGGCTGATAGGGAAAATATTGCTTAAATGTTCTTTAAAATAGATACCCAAATCTGTCTTACTTCTGGTCCACTCTGTCTTGTGACTAACCACTAGCATTTGAAAAGAAGGGGGATAACTGACAACTAGCTTTTGTAAGAAACCCTGAATTAAAATTCTTGAAACTGGGTCATTTGAGAGGAATCTACCAGCAATATCAGTGCAAATCTGGGGACCTGCCCCACTTTAGTGTAGATCCCGAATATTCCAAGTTTCATAGAAGTGGAGAAAGAGAAATGGGGTATTATGTCAAAACCTAAAGTCCTAAACCAATTCTAAATACAATTAACAATATCTACCAGATATTATTTGAAGCAGTCTGTTTGATTTTCTCAACAACTCTCTCTACAACTTGTTGAAAATGGGTTTCCAGAGTCTCTCAATACAAAAAAAGCTTTATGTCCCATATGCAAACAAAGATTTAGACAGATTCCCTCTGACCCCAGTGCCTTCCAATTTTTTCCCACCTCCTTCCTGCCAACTTGGACAAATATTAGGAGAAAAGACTGTGAACCATGTCCCTGGATGGTGTGGAGAGATCCAAGCTAGCAATTTTTTGTTTATCTGAGAGCCGGGAATTACTACATCCTTGGCCTGCTCAGTGCCCTGCCTCTTCCGATGAGGTCAGGAGCAGAGTGCAGTGATGAGGAAAGCACCTCCAGGTTGACCTTTCCGGCCCTGCGAACGTCAGGCTAGCTCCTTTGTGTGGACTTTTCTGTTGACATTTCTGACTGCCCCTTTGCAAACCAAATCGAACCACACCAAACAAAGCTGGTGGGCGAGAGGAAGGAAGAGCAGGGGAGAAGATGTCAGCCAGTGTGAGTCAGATGATGTTAAAAGGACTTTGTAAACCAAGAAGTGCTGTAGGGATGTAGGTTCTTACCAAGGAAAAATGTGTTATCCTCACGCCTCCATAACGAACCGAGGAGAGAAATCCATTCCTTTTCCTTCTTGCTTCTGCCAATCTCATTGGTAGGGGCTTTTTGGACAATGTTATCAATTGAGACTGTAACAGGATGCACTTGGTTCACCCACAAGTATAAACCCCCAGAAAAAACAGGACAATTTCTTTTACATTTGCCAAGAAATTGTAAGCTTTAAATATATGCTATGTTCTGTGAAGTCAGGAGACCTACTACTCTTGCCTGAACTCTGATCTTTAGCTTAATTGACCATGGTTAAAATAAACGAATAGTAATAATCATAGTAATAATTTATTACTTATTTAGAGCTACGCACTGGGCTAAGTGATCTACATTTCCTCTTATATAAAGCTGAAGTCCATAAAGTAGAAACAATTATCCCCAGGATATAAATGAGAGAACTGAGGCTGAGGGAAATTAAGTAGATTTCCCACAGTCAAATAGCTTGTAACAGAAGTAGGATTAAAGCAAGTTTATTGAACCCCAAAGCTTTTGCTTTTTCCATAATTTCACCTCACACGTTATACCTATAATTGCATAAATCTGCAAATATGTCTATAATTGCAAAATTTAATTCTTTAGCAAAGATTTTATAAAACTGTAATATTTCTGTATTAGTGACTTTATGTGTTTTCCCCTATTTCCACTTCTCTTGTATTCTCTCTGTATGTCTTTGTAACACTGTGTATAGACATTACACACACACCTGCTTGTGATTGTGTGTCAGAGCTGAGTAATTTTTCTATTCCTTTAGGGTCTCTTTTACTTACATTGTCCATTGAATTCTTTTCCCATTTTTTTTCTTTCTTCAATCTTTCCTGCCTGATGCCTCTTTTACTCCCATAATATGAATCTAAAGTATATTCATATTTATTGTGTTCATCTAAAGGAGTTTTTGCTTTCTGTTCTTTGCTTTTAAACGGTTTTAAAATTACACTAAATTGACTTGTTTTATATTTTATGGTTTTATAGGCCTTGGCCTGCTTTTACGGTCCATTACTTTTGTCTATAAACGGTCTTCCTTTTGATTGTGTTCTTTGCTGGGTTGGAAAGTGCCTTTCTGTCTCTGTAGGTTCAACAGGCCTAACACAGACCTTGTAATACAAGTGTACAGACAAAATAATGAAAAACTCAACAAAATCGGTGTCTACCAGTGTTGTCACAGCAACTGATAGGCGGGAAGAGATGTGGGTGAGAATCACAGGCCACCTTCCGTAAACAAATTTGCCTCTGTCTCCAACCTTGGTCGCATTTTCAGATACACCGAGCTGAAACCAGTTTTACCTGCGGGGTTTGGGTCCAGGTGCGGTTCAACTTATCCTGCAGGAAGACGTTAGGGGAATACGGGAGGACGTGACAATCAGTTCTCTAGTCTCGGCTCTGTCCTCCCCCGCCTTGGTCCCCCTTCATCTTGGGGACCGTATGGAAGGGGATCTTGGAGCGGAGCTGGCCAACCGAAAAGTGCACGGCACGCGTCACCCTGCTTCGCGGCCGCGCGGGCCCAGGAGCGATTCCCCTCGGCAGCCGCCTCCCGACCCCCTGGGTCCCTCCGCCGGCCGCGCTCCGCAAGCAGCCCCGGGACGGAGGTTTCCCCCACTGGCCCCTCCCGGGGCTCTGTCCCAGCTTTCTGCAGCTGCCCCGGGTAGAGGTTTCTCCTCACTCCGCCGGCTGCCGGCGCCTGGCCACCTGCCCACGAAGCCCACCTCGAGCTCTCCCCGCGACCGAGCTTCAGTTTGCTCATCTGTAAAGCGGGGACAACAATCGCTACCACATTTACTCAGAACGTGAGGCGGCCACAAAGGAGGGGATGCCACTATAGCGTTTACCCCTAATCACTCCGCTCGCTGTCGGTACTGTTCCCTGGGACGGCGAGGGCAGGCGCGCGTTCCCGCGCGGCTCCGAAGGGCAGCGGCCGCGAGCGCACCCCGCCCCGCCCTCCGGCCCGGCGCCGCGCGCGTGCCTGCCGCCCAGCGCCGCCTCAGCCGTGCGTCCCGCGGCCGCATCCCGGGGTCTCCTCGCGAGCCGCAGCGCCCGGCGACATGGCGCGCAGCCACCGCCTCCTGCTGGAGAACGCGCGGCAAGTGGTGCTGGTGTGCGCCCGCGGCGAGCGCTTCCTGGCGCGGGACGCGCCGCGCGGCCTGGCGGTGCTCGAGGGCGCCAGCCTCGTGGTGGGCACGTAAGTGGCTGCGCGCGGTGGGGCTGTGGGCGCCCTGGGCCGCGCGCTGGGGGACGGGCGAGCCACTGCGCGCTTGGCGTCTTCCTCTAACTTGGGCGCCGTGGAGGGACACGGGGTGCAAGCTCTCCTGCGCCCAGGGAGACATCGGCAGGCCTGCCTTTTAGGCACCTGCTGGTACCGTGTGTGACTGCTTCGGACTGTCGTTCGGTGGAAAGCCGCGCCCAAGACAACATACCCCATTCCCTCGCCCCTGCCCCCCGCCCCGTGCCCTCTGCCCTCACATCTTTGAGTCAGCGTCGCTGTGGATGGAGTTCGAGACCTGAACTTTGACAGAGCACCTCTCCAGCCCCCTTCGTCTGCACGCTAAAGCTTGAGAACCACGAAAACTTAGACGGTGATGGTTTGGGGTGATAGGAAAGTTAGGGTTCAGCTACCAGGGAGAGGGCGTTTTCATTTATTTTCGTTGAACCTTCGTAGCTTCCCGCTAGACGCGAATTAAAGAACTGCCAAAGCCTGGGAGGGCGGACCCGGAGCGGGAATGGGGGTCGAATGCCATTTGAACTGGAGAGCCCCAAGGCCCTGCAACGGCAAGAGGACTCTGAGGAGGAGGCTTAGGGTCGGTAGGAGCCCAGGTTTAGGTACTCTGTGTGTGTGTGTGTCTGTGTGTTTAATTAACAAAGGGGTAAAAACATCCCCAGTATTACTGTCAACAATTTGTTCAAGTCAGTCGGCAGATTTGCACAGAGGGAGGAATTCAGGGCTAGTTGAAGGCCATACTCTTCCGAGTACTGAGGATCCAGGCCCTACTCTCCTGTTCCGCTGTGCGCGTCCCTCTTTCTCAGTCACTCCAAGAAGCCTGCTCCGTGGTTATTATGGCCTCTGCTTTCTAGCCAGGAGAAAATGGAAAGGGAAACAATCCTGCTGGCTAGAATTTAGACACATGGCCATACATGGCTGATGGGAGAACTGGGAATGTAGTCTTTATTCTGGGCGGTCATGCGTCCAGCTAAAATTTAGGAATATAGCATTGTAGGAAAAAGGATTTGCAATCTGATACATAGGATTTGATTTTTTGTCCTGCATGTGGCTAGAGTTTTCCAAAGACACAAGTTCACACCAAAAAAAAAAAAATCAATAACATTGTAAATCATTAGATTTTTCCCAGTATTTCCCCAAACTTTAGTTATTATTTCTTGATTTTTCTTCAGGGATGGCCTTATAAAAGCCATTGGTCCTTCTGATGCTATCCAAAAACAGTTTTCTGAAGAAACATTCGAAGAAAGAATTGACTGTTCTGGGAAATGCATCTTGCCAGGTATTAACTTCTGAAGCCCTGAAAGCTTCAGGTTTTAGTAATAAAGAGGGAGCACAGCAGCTTGTTTTAAATAAGGTCTCACAATAACATTAAAATATAATAATAGTTACCATGTATTGACGTTCTACTGTTGAATATGTAGGTGCTTTACAAACAAGTTTTCGTGTTGAAGCCTCATGGCTGCCCTGGAAGCTAAGTACATACCCTAAGCTACATGTTACAGATTAGAAAACTGAAGTTCAGGGGTGAAATAACTTACCCAAGATTGCTAAACAGGTAACACGCAGGCTGGGAGTCAAACTCATTATTCTCTCCACTTTTTTCCACTCACATGCTGAAGAGAAACCCCACTGTGTTGTGTTTAGGTTCAAAAACTGTTTTAAGAGCTGTATTAACTCATTTCATAGGGGAGGCAAACAGGACAAGCTGCTATCTCTAACACCAGAATATACTCCAAACTTAGGCAGAGTGTGAAATAGAGAACCCATCTGTAGGTGGAAAAGGGGGGAAAGTCCCTAGAGATTTCACTGATGCTTGTTTATATCTTTAGTGATTGACAACAAAATCAGTTTATTAACTCATCTTCTATGTTATCTGTTTTATGGCTTCATTCATGTAATCATCTGAAAAAAGTTTCACAAATTTTGAGTTCTTTACAAACATAGAGGCTAGCATTTATATTTTTAAAATGTGTACTGGGCATATCTGACAGGGTGACCTTCTGGCTTTGGGAGTCAGGAGATAAAGCCAGAGTGAAACTTTAAGAAAAAGGGCAGAATATAGAAGAAAGCAATCTGAATAGGAATTCTTGGTTTTTGTCCAATCAGAACCGTTAATGAGTCATTTAATCCATAATGTATTTAATCCAAACACAATTTACCTAATTTTACTTGGATAAACAAAAGACCAATTGATTGCTTTATAGTTTCTCTTTAATTAAATTATATTTCTTGAAGAAAGATTGATCTCCCCAATTTTGCATTTTTCCTTTTCAAAGTTGGGGTGTGTGTGTTGTAGTCTGTTTTCACACCTGGATTATTCCTTGGTGATATAGTCCTTGAAATTGCTCAACTAATAGATTTCACATCCCGTTCTAAAAGCTTGCTTGGTAAGCATGGACTTATTTGGCAAAAGGAGCTGTGTTTTTAAGGAATATTTTCATCAGGTTGAATCATCTTTCTCTGTGAGAGACTTCTAGACCAGCCATGCAGAAAGGCATCTTGTATGCTCTCAGTGGCAGGAATCAGCCAAATTCCTCGTCCTCTGCTCTCCCCCAGGATGGCTGACCACCATCCTGCTTTCCCAGGAGTGGCGTGGTATGGTCTGCCTGCTCTCTCAGGGCTTTCTAATTCTCAGCTTTCCAAATGATTTGCTTTCTGATTACAGGTTTGGTGGATGCACACACACATCCAGTGTGGGCTGGTGAAAGAGTTCATGAGTTTGCAATGAAGGTAACTGCAATAAATGATGGCAAATCAAAGTAAAGCACAAATAGAGACAAGTCTTCCTCAAAAGGGGTTGATAGGCTACCAGGCTTTGTCTATGTCTGCGTGCCTTCTTAAGGAATACTTTTACTGGCTTGGACTATGGAAAATAAATTACAACTTCTTGTAACTGTCCCAAATCTTTATACAGTGCACAGAGCTAGCAGTCATTTTAAGTATAATAGTTTTCAAGAATTTGTAGCTGTAGAATCCTCCTTTTAAAACAGAGCTGAGCTGCCTTGCTTAACTAATTTCTCCTCTTTTTCCCTTCTCCCATTTCATCCTACCACCCCTGGTAGCCTTTGAAGGGGTTCCAGGAAGCAGTTTGAAAATGACCATTCATTGGGCCAAACTTGGAAAAATATATTGCTAATCGCAAAAATGAGTCTGGTATGGTTCTCTTTCCCCCCAGGAAAAATGAGTCTTGTTAAGAAACATAAAAGCATTGTCTATCTCACTCATTTATTAGCCATAGTCAACCCTCACATCCCTGGTTGGAGCCATTTTCACATAGCTTGTGTTTAAAAGATTTTATTTTTTAGAGCAGTTTTAGGTTCACAGCAAAAATTGAGTGGGAAGTACAGAGATTCCCCAAATACTCCCTGTTCCCCCACCCACACTCAGCAACCCCCACCCCCAATTATCAACACTCCCCCACCAGAGTGGTATCTTTGCTACAGCTGGTGAGCCTACATGGACACATCATTTTCACCAGAGTCCCTAATTTATATTAGTGCTCACTCTTGGTGCTCTACATTCTATGGGTTTGGACAAATGGTTAATGATACATATCGACCATTACAGTGTCATACAGAGTAGTTTTGCTGCTGTAAATCCTCTCTGCTCTGCCTGACTGTCTTTCCCCCCAACCCCTGGCAGCCACTGATCTTTTATTGCCTCCTTAGTATTGCCTTTTCCAGAACTTCGTATCATTGGAATCCTACAGTTTGTACCCTTTTTGGATTGGCTTCTTTCACTTAGTAATATGCATTTAAGTTTCCTCTGTGTCTTTTCTTCACGTTTTTTTTTATGAAGCATACAACCTAGGAGCTAAATTGGATTATTTCAGAAAAAGAAGAGATTCTCCAGATGTTGTGTGCCTTCTTCACCAAACTAGAGCTGTTTTTAAGACTTTATTGAATCACACAATTTCAGAGCCAAAATGCAACTTTTAGAGATTTGCAGGCCAATCCTCTCCTTATGTAGATGGGGAACGTGAAGTGTATGGAAGGAGAGGGTGTTGCCTGAGGTCACGTCACTGTGGCAGATCCTGGGTGAAACTTTGGTGGGGAGACCTCCAGGCTGGCATATTTTGTTTGTACCACAGTCCTTGCTCCCCAGAGGTACTGGAGCTCAGTGGGATCCTGGAAAGAGCTTGAGGCCCTATACTGAGATATGGACCCCCTTACCCCGTCTCTTGAGTGGATATCTGAGTAATTGCAGTGGGGCTCCAAACTGCCCAAGCTCTGTTTTCTCATAGGTGCTGAGGGATAGGCCGAGACTTAGCTGGTACACACTGGGGTCCCTGGGTTGTGAAAATGCTGAAATACTTCTGTACTGGTTCATTAATTGCGGCTGCTGCCATGAGACCCAAGTGCTCCCCACCACATCTCCCATTTCTGCCACCCCAGTGCCTTCCTGGGACCTTCCCGCTCGCATGCCCCAGCCCCAGCTCCCCACCACCCTGGCAGAGTAGGGACTTGCAGGATTCTGTGACCCAGCATCCATTCTGATCTGCTGGTGCCTGTGGCATATCGATTGTTAATCATTTTGAGTGTCATCCCTGGATGTGGGTTGTGCAGGCTTGCCTGTAGCCTGCCCACATTTGCCCCACTTAAGGGTGAGCTGTGTGTTCAGTTGGCAGGAGCCACGTACATGGACATTCACCAGGCTGGAGGAGGAATCAACTTCACTGTGGAGCACACACGCCAAGCCTCGGAGGAGGAGCTTTTCATGCTCTTCCAGCAGCGGCTGCAGTGCATGGTGAGGGCTGGGACCACACTGGTAGAGTGCAAGAGTGGATATGGCCTCAACCTGGAGACTGAGCTCAAGATGCTGCGTGTGATCGAGCGTGCCCGGCGGGAGCTGGATGTGGGCATCTCAGCCACTTACTGTGGGGCTCACTCAGTGCCAAGGTAACTTTAGCTGGCGGTTCCTGGGTTTAACTGGGGCACTGAGGAAGAAGGGGTTGTGTGGGGCTTTGGAACAATACCCGTCCTGGGTTTGAATCCAGCTTATCTACTTCCAGCTGGGTGATTTTGAGGTTATCACTTAACTTTTCTGAGCTTGAATTACTCATTTGTAAAACAGCCAAGTAACACCATATTCTTGAGAATTAGAAACAACATATGTAAGTGCTTGTCTCCATGGTCCACCTATGTCTACCCACCAAATGGTTTTTGCTGGACAAAGACCCCTTATATGTCCCAAATACAGGGCTGAGGCAAATTTTCTCCATCAGCCAATGCATTTCTGAGGAATTGGCTGTCTTGATCCCCAATGATAAAGCCTGAGGCTCAGATACGCCAAATGATGGCTGAGTAATGTTGTCCAGTTATGTAGCCAGCCAGTGGAAGAGCTCTGTGTCTGGGACTTCAAAAGCCCCATCCCTTCTAACACATGACTACTCCAGGATCTTAGAATTTTAGGGCCTCCTATGATCCTTGTCCCCCATTTCCCCAAATGGTGAGATAGGAAGCCTTAGGCAGATGCTTCTAGAAACTGTGGAAGAAAAAAAAGGCAGGGTAACTATGACGCAGACAAGGGGGCTTGTAGTTCGGTTGCCAGGGGCCATCTAGGTTGCCCTCTAAGTGTCCTTAATGAGAAGATTCAGTCTTTCAGTGGGGTGGCCTTGCTGGCTTTCCGAAAGACAACACAGGAACTCCAGAACGGGAGAGCCTTTTGAGGGTCTCACGGGTCAGTGATGCAGAGCGTTGTCAATACCTCTACCACGGAGGCATGTCCCAGCTGTTAAGAGTCCTGAGTTATAGCTTTGATTCTTTCTCTACCTTTCCAGAAGGCTCAAGGTCATTTACCAACAGTTTCTCAGGTTCTCCAAGTGTCAAAAATCCCTTTGTCTGATAAAAAAAAACTTGCCCGTGGTAATGTCATTTTCTTTCCTCAGAGGAAAAACTGTGGCAGAAGCTGCTGATGACATTGTCAATAACCACCTCCCAAAGCTGAAGGAACTTGCCAGAAATGGGGACATACACATTGATAATATAGATGTGTTCTGTGAGAAGGGCGTCTTTGATCTTGATTCCACCCGAAGGATTCTTCAAAGTGGGAAAGATATAGGGTTGCAGATTAACTTCCACGGGGATGAACTACACCCAATGAAGGCTGCCGAGGTACGGCTGTCCTCCTGCTTTCCCTGCCAACACTCATTGCTACTGAAAAGACAGACAATGGGGACATTTGTTTGAACAATATGCAGGTCGGTCTGGCTGAGCCCTGGAATTCCTGACCTCCATGAGAAATGTATTTTTTTTTTGTTGGTCATTTACTTTTAGTATCATCTGCTGGTGGTAGAGTAGGAAAAGAAGTACCTTTGTGATCCCATTTACTAAACTGACAACACATTTTGATGGTACATAAAGCCACACGAGCAGTCTGTTAATTTTACTCCATAGCTTCTAGGGTCTTTCTATGGCAGCATCCAGGTGAGTTTTAGTGGAACACACTGAAATGGTCACACGATGATTTCCAAATCTCTTTGTCTTGCCAAGACTTGTTTATTCATGCTTTCAACAAATATTTATGTGTGTGCTAGGTGCCAGGCACCGATTAGACACTGAGAACGCAGCAGTGGGATGAGATCCATGAAATCTCTGCATTGAGAGTCTGCATGTCTCTCCTCTAAGCCCTGGAGCGAGAAAAACAACTATCCCTGGGGCATAAATACAGATATAGATACTCCGCATGTCTGCATGTCCAGCTGTCAACCCTAACACGTCCAGTGTGATCTCTTAATATCACTTCCAGATCTTGTTCGCTGTCCTGCCTAATGACACCATTGATCATCTCTCTGTTACCTAAGCAACAGGGCATTATTTTGTCTCCTCCTCCCCGTCGTGTTCCATGCGTCACCCAACCGGGAAGTCCTCCCAATTCTCTGTCTAAGTGTTTCTAGGACTTCTCTTCACTCCACTGCCTAGTTCAAACCACCATCAGCCCTCACCTGGATTCCTGAAACAACTCTTCTCCTTGCTTCCACACCTGCCTCCACCTTAACCCACTCCTGTCACGCCTCCCGCAGTGCACCTTGTCTCCCTCTCCGTTGCTTAGAGCCACCTACAGGCTTGCCCCTGCTGGAGCACAAACTGCAGACTCCTGTCACTGGAGGCTGACTGGGATCCAGGCCTCCTTACCACTCTGTCTTCCTCTGTCTCTCTCCTCCCTTTTTTCACTTCCTGTACTCTCTTTACCATGAACCAGCCATGATAAACTAGTTTTGGTACACCTAATCTGAACCCTCCCCTTTGTCGGGCTAACTCCAACTGCCCTCCATGTTTCATCTTAGCTACTGTTTCTCTGGGATCTCCCCAAATCTCTCCAGGAGTGGGTTGTAGCTCCTCCCTGTATGTGTCCCACCATGTTAAAATGGTCTCTGCAATCCGTACTGGACTTTTAACATACTTAGGATGTATCCATGTCTTCCACAGCCCTATCCATGGAGGTTAGCATAGTGCTTGGCGTAATACAGATGCCCTTTAGTAAGTAAATATTTGTGAATGTTTGATTGAATAAATGAATGTATACTGGGTGGTCAACAAGATACTTTTGGTCTTAGAGAGTGACTAGTGAATTAATCAATGGAAGTCAATACCCAGAATGAACAAATGAAGTTTGGAAAGTGAGGGTGATTCCAAAGTCAGAAAAGAATTTTTGTGGAGCACCAGACCCCCAGAGCCCCTCCAACATGCTCTTAGACCTGAGCTGCTGATGACTGGCAGCTCCTCCCTGACCTGCCAGGGGCATTGCAGCCGCCCTGGACCACAATGTAATGTTAAATACTAATCTACTGTCCTTTTCTTGGAATGCTTAACATACCACCTTTCAGCTAGTGCACTGTGTGTGTGTGTGTGTGTGTGTGTGAGAGAGAGAGAGAGAGAATCTGAAAATTTGTCAAAATGAGAGAAATCCACTTTAATGCATGTTTCCATCATCATTATAACATTTCTTCCCCTGATTCTCTTCTAACAATCTAGACCAAAGTTTTCTGGAGAGAAATCAAGCTCAAGTAGGTATTCTCATATTATCCATATGATTCCACATTTTTAGTTTACTTAACTGATCTGTTTTCCTTGAGGGCAGCATTCCAAGACACCTTTTTTGTCTTTATGATGTTATAAATGTTAGATTTTATTACCGATACTACCCAATATGTTTTATTCTGATCCATAAGATTCATAACATTTTTTTTGTTAGCAAATGTCTGAAGGATATCAGTAAGCATTTGTGTTAAGAACAGTTTTTGAAGTAGCACACTAGCTCGTCTTCAAGTGAATGTCCAGCACAAGCCGGTCACCCTTGTGCTCATGAGAGTTAGTTGTCAAGAAGTATTAATATGGAGTGCTGTTTATTTCTTCAGGAAAACAATGTTACGGCACTTTATTGATTTGTTATTGCTGTTAGTGAAACCTTTCTCTCTGCCCCTTCTGCTTAGCTCGGGGCTGAACTGGGAGCCCAGGCCGTCAGTCACCTGGAAGAAGTGAGCGATGAAGGCATCGCTGCCATGGCAACGGCCAGGTGCTCTGCTGTCCTTCTGCCCACCACGGCCTACATGCTGAGGTAAGGTCGTTTCTCACCGCCACCCAAGAGCTGACGACACAGACTTCCAAGGTGCCCAAATAGTATTTCATTGCACTTTCAAAACCCTTAAAAATGCTGATCAAGAAAACCTAGCTCATGGAAGATGCCAGAATAATGTTCATAAATGAAGAAGGGGCTTAGGCCCAAATTGCCTTTGAGTGGTGGGATTATTGGGAAGAGTGGAACTTTTTTCCTTTTTTTCCTCATTTTTGGAATTTTTCCAATAAAAAAAATCAGTGTGCATTACTTTTATAATTTGAAAATAATGGAAGTGGCTTTATATTTTTAAAATATGCATAAAATGTTGGGGATATTTTGCAGTATTCAGAAAATGAATGGGCTGTTTCATAAAAGGATGCAAGTGGGTACCATCATCACTGTAAATCCTGGTGGGTAGGAGGAAAGAGCAGACATTTAAGTTTATTTTGTAAAATCTCCCCAGGAATTTTGTTGTATGCCATCTATGGACTGAATACACATAGTCCATCTTTTATAACTGCTGTTTGATTTGATTTTACCAAATGTGAGACCTGAGGGCTTCTGACTCTTTCCATTCCATCACCTCCATGACAGCCACAGAGTTCATGGTCAGCAAGGACAGCATTGAAGGGGCAGTTTATTTTCTCTGAGGACCAGGTGCTTTCTGTGTGGTTGCCATACGTGGCTTTCAGTGGGATGATTCCACTGCTGTGGCCTTAGCACAGTGGTTTTCAACTTAGCACAAAGGGGCGATTTTGCCCCTCAGGACATTTGGCAATGTCTAGAGACCCTTTTGGAGAATGTACAAGTAGGGTGTGCTACCAGCACTGAGTAGGGGGAGGCCAGGCTGTTGCCCAACATACCACAATGCACAGAACAGCCCCTGTAACGAAGAATTATCTAGCCCAAGATATGAATTGTGCCAAGGCCAAGAAACTGCCTCAGGGATTGAAAAGCCAGGCTTTGAGTAACATTTCTAAGGCAGAACAGAGGAATATCACACTGCTTTTCTCAAATTTGTTATGATTTTATACACACACACACAGTATTATACATTTCTTTCACTATTACTTTTCTCTTAATTTAAAACATAGATGTAATGTAGGTTCCAACCAAGAACTATCGATCAATAACTGTTCTCCATATGACCAATTGTTTTTCCTGCGAATCTCAGGAGTCATCAATCAATATTTAATCTGGTTAAATTTCCACCACTCAAGGAATAAGTTTTCACAAAGAAAGGATTCCTTTAACTTACCTTAAATCTCATCAGAGTGAGAAAAATCTAGGATGTGGAGTACAGAAGGGCAGCTCGGTGTTAAAAGTCTGAACTTCGTCCCTGTGCCCATGGCAGCCTCCATTGGCCATCATCATGAGGCGGATCTCACACCCCGTTTGGATGACAGGGGCAACCAGAGAGAATGCCACATTCTTCTCTGGCTTCTCTGCTCCTCTGTTTTTCTGATCTCCATCAGGAGGAACCTTCAGGGCCCCCCAGCTGTACCCTGAACTCTCACTCATTTCCAGAAAAACTATTGCCTTAAGCCACTTGAGGGCTCCTGTGATCATTATTTTTTGCATCGTTGCATATACTATTTAAATTTATTCAAGACATATTCACCTTAGTTTTTCTGGAGCTTCCTTAATGCCTCCACAGCCTCACATTTTTTCCTCCTTAGCAGTTCTGGAAGGGGAGGGGAGGCCGTCAGAATGACCTGGAGGGTAATTTTAAGCTCTAGCCTTTCCTCACTGTGTATCTCTGCTCACCCTCCTCCATACATCTTCCTAGCTGACAAACATTATTTAAGTGGTCCTGCAAATTGGCAGTCATAGATGGGGAATGCTTCAAGTTCAGGAATCTGTGCACTCCCAGTACTTTATTAATTCATGTACAACATGTGTTTTGAGGGCTTACTACTTGTCAGGCACTGTTCTAGGCACTGGGATCCAGCCACAGATAAAAGTTTTGTCCTCAGGACATCCAGTTTGATTTCTGCAGAAGTCAAAGTTGGGCTCAATTTGCACTGGATTCTTTTCCCTTTTGCAATAGTTACTAACTGAATAAAATCTGTCCTCACCCTTTTAGCCAGTGTCTGGCTTTATCTTTGACATAACTTTTGAGTCATGTCCTGAAAAATAAATAATACTTTGCAAAGCAGATCAGGGAGACACCAGTCCGGAAGAAGTGCAAATATTTTTCATATTAGATTCTAGGGACTTCAAGAATGGCCTACAGAATATTTGAGGCTCCCCCTTCTTCCCTAAAAGGAGGGAGAGAGAGATGGATAAAAAAATAACAAGTTAATAAAATAACATTATTTTAACATCATTAATTATTTATATTTGGGAATCAAAAAAAGGTTTATTTTTATTTCAAAGTTATATTCGAAAACAACTTAAAAGTTATATTCTTCTTCCTTAGCAAGAATCTCTGAGTATACATAAATATTGCTGAGATAAAGAATCCCAAATTAAAGAAGCCAGTCATAGCCAAGTAATTTCAAAAGCAGAATGATAAAAATCAGAAGTCCTGAGGTTCCACCTGTTGCCACTACAAATTGCTCATCCTGAAATTTCTGTTCCTTCCAGAGCATGAAGGGGTTGGATATCTTAAGTCAGCTTCCATTCTCAACATCTATTCTGCAACAGTTCCACTTCCAAGACTGACATTTCTTTTCCTTCCCCTTAGACTGAAGCAGCCTCGAGCCAGGAAGATGTTAGATGAAGGGGTAATAGTTGCCCTGGGCAGTGATTTCAATCCTAATGCATATTGCTTTTCAATGGTAATTATTTTTAATGTGCCTTACTGAGCAGAGTGTCAATCTTCTACCAAGTATATAACTAATTTAAAAATATTTCACTAACTGTTAAAATGTATCAAAGATCTAAAAATATTTTCCTGGGAAACAAAAAATTGTGTGGATAGCAGTGTAATTGGCTATTTCTGGGCTACGTGAATGTCTCTAGGCATAGAGAGAAGAGAGATGGTTCTGTCTGCATGTTCTTTGGATTCCGTCCTGGCATTGTGGTTTTACAATAACCCGTTAGTCCTCTTGGGGAAGAGTTAGTAAGCAAGTGTGGAGGTGAGCTTCATCTTATTCAGTAAGTGGTCTTGCACCGTTGTAAATAAATATTAAATGTATGGGTGGGTGGTGATCTCTACAATAAAGGAATCTTTTCCAAAGCATAAGATCTTTATGTGTAAATTTACATTTTTCATATCAGTTTAGCCAGTTCTACCTTCACTTCCATTATTCGTGCTCTGTTGAGAAATGTCCTAAGTAGCAGTTGCCGTTTTGTTACTTTCCTCCAATGCTTTTCTCTTCCCGCCTTAGCCAGTGGTCATGCATCTGGCCTGTGTAAACATGAGAATGTCCATGCCTGAGGCCTTGGCTGCTGCCACCATCAATGCAGCATATGCACTGGGAAAATCTCACACACATGGATCTTTGGAAGTCGGTAAACAGGGAGATCTCATTATCATCAACTCATCCAGGTGAGTGCTTTCCCAACTGAACTACTTTATTTTATGCCCGTTGTAATATGTAGATTTGGTTTAAATCCCTTTTCCACCAATTATTAGTGTCAGGCTCTGTGTAGGCTCAGAAGTTACCCAATCTCTTTTATCCTCACCCCTTTCTAACCAGAAAGTCTCCCTACAGGTCCTAAATCACAGGGTGAACCAGCTCTTCTGGTCTCTTCATCATCCCACATCTGTCATAGATCTCCAGGTTTCTGCTCTGTTTACCTGTACTTTGGACTGGTTGTGCCCTCTGGCGTGTGTTTTGCTGTTTGCTTGGGTTCTGTCGGCTTGTGCTGAACCAGCATGCCCCGACTCGGGTGTGTCTCCCTGGTTCTAATTCATTCTCTCTGACTTCTCATTCCTACTGGATCCCGAAAGCCTTGCTTCAGTTCTCCTCCCCCTGGTTTTGTTTGACTCACCCACAGTCTGTTGCCACCAGGGTAGGTGGAGTCTTAGCTGTTGTTTTAAATCTTAAAGTTGTAAATCCTATGATTCCTTGACCCTAGCAAACCTATCACAGCCCTTGGACCTCAAATTTAACAGAAGGGAGTGGCCCTATAATTCTTCTCTCCACGGTCATAAACCACTCTCTATTGGAAATAATGCTGATGTTACCATTTGTGAATCAAAATATTTGTTAAGCAATATTTGATTTATCAGAGACTGATGATTGTAGTAATCTACCTTTTTTTTAAAAAAGCCCAAATATCAATGAAGAAGTATGAAAAAATTTTTAGATACTGTATTTTTAAACTAGCATTTATTGACAAAGTGATTATTTTGACTGGTATGCATTAATGTTTGATTTCTTTCCAGATGGGAGCATTTGATTTACCAGTTTGGAGGCCATCATGAATTAATTGAGTATGTTATAGCTAAAGGAAAAATCATCTATAAAAAATGATAGATCTGAAAGGAAAGAGAAGTCTCTTTGGCTGTATAAAATAAGTCAAGACAGTGATATTAAAAGTTAAAATACTGTAGTAGTTTACTAGAATGATGTCACTGAAATTTATTTCAGTGTTTTATTAATCCACTCAATAAAAATGAAGGGATTAATTTATTTTAATGTAATGTGCACCTGGATATATAAACAAGTAAACCAATTGTGATGATAATATCAAAACATTAAATCATTTCACAAAGATTTGTTACAAATACTCTGAAGGTTCATATGATGAAGTATCACAAAAATGCCTTTGTGGAAAAAAGCAAATTGCCAATTAAGTAGACATGACTTGAAATCCCCATTTGGTTTCTTCTTTGCAAATTTCAATTTTTAACCTATAGTTAGTGAAAATTGGGGGATGGTGGGAAATCCAACTGCTATGTCCCAAATTACACTAAAGTGTAGCTTTCTGTAATAAGCAAATGATTTTTCCTTTACCAAGATAATTTGTCTTTCTAGATGCTTTTCAAATGCATTAGGGTCCCCTTGGAGGGTGTCCTTCTGCTGTAATTTCTTCTCAACCCAAGCAGTGGAGCTTCACAGCGGAGTTCAAGACTCATCATTTTATATATGGGTTTAGGGGCCTTCCTATAACGGGTGCATTTTGACCAAATCCAATAATGTAGTCTTTTAAAATTGTTTTAAAGTTTTTGATTCTTTACATAACTCATGTATTAAAAAAAAGAATTGTAGGTCTCAATAAATATTTGCTGTCACTATTATTGTTATTGTTTACAGACCTGGAAGTAGATCAGTGGCATTGTCTATTAGAGCTTTTCAGGAAGTGAATAAATTACATAATCATTCATAAAGAAAGAATGGATGGTTATATAAATAGGTGTTTCTAAAGCCCTGTGAGTTTACTTGAAATCCTTTAAAATGTTTAGTCATCCTTATCACAACTGTGTTACTAACTTTGCCCTATTCCTAAAGGAATGATATGAGAAGTAAATATTAACAATCTACATTATCACCCTTTTCAGGTTAATTGAGCCTGAATCAATGAGGCTTTACTGTATCTGACATAAGTCAAGTACAGATACACTTGTTGGGAGGCCAAGGGTAACACGGCACATTGCTGTCACTAGCTAGTAGCGTGGGGTCTCTGGAGCTCTGTCCCTCCCATGCGTGGTTGAAGGAGCCCTGAGGGGGTATGGGAGGCGTGTGTGTGCTGTGGGTGATGCCTTCCCTATGGCCAATCACCCATTCAGGGGTGGGAGTTTGGGATGCTGGAGATAGATATAAAGGCCAAAACTAAATATTAAGTCTCTCCTGGAACCCAAGCCACGCAGAAGTATATCCTTACACCTATGGAATAAGAAGGTAAAGTGCATCTTATTTTACCTCTAGAAGACATTCACTCTAAACACACAGCATTCATGTCTTCTTTGAATGAAAGCAGAGTGTGGCCATCTGGAACTGCCTTAGTCTTCCTAGATCAGTGGCCCATAAGCTGTTGCAACTCATGCGAGCTTGACTAGAAATGCAGACCCTTGGCCTCTACTTATACCCAACCTTCCCATCTTCCTGCTACGTATGGTTATTGTTTGTTTAACCCTCTGGCCCACTGCCTAGGCTATGAACTCTGAGGGCAAGAACCAGGCCATCTTGGTCACTATTTGTTTAATGGTGAAAATTGACTGGACAGAATCGATTTCCTGGCATAAATGTCTCCTGACGTTGAAGTTGACCTTACATTTCTCCATTTCTCCCTTTTCTCCCTGACTCCCATCACTCAAAGCCCAGCTCAGTCACCTCTCCCAGGAAGCCTCCCTGATGATCCAGAGGTGCTGAGGGTATTGTGTCTTTTTCCTCTAGGACACATGCTTTGTCCTAGAGGAACAGAGTTTGCTGTCCACATCATCCCATGGTTGGAATCCCCCCTGGGCCTGGCTGGCTTAGTGCAGTAATTGCCATTTCATGTTCCAACTAGATGGAAAGCCTTTGAATACAGAGCCACGTGCTGTGTTGCTGCACCATAGCCTCTGTACAGTGCCTCACCAACAGGGTCTGTGGTAGGTAGGATGCTGACAGCTGCAAGGGTCCAAAGCTGACTAAAGTTGGCTTGAAAATTAAGGAAGCTTATTAGCTCACCCTTGGAAATTCACAGGAAGGCCTGGTTTCAGCTCTGTAATGCTGAAGACCCAGATTCCTCCCCTCCCTCTTCTCTGTCATTTGCTGTCCATATCATCCCATGGTCAGACCCCCACCTGGGCCGGGCTGGTTGGTCGGCAGTCACAGGCTCCATTCTGGTGAAGCCGGAGGGCGAGAAGCCTGGCTGCCGTGGCTCTCTGGACAGAATACATTTTCTTGAAGCCTCCAGTTAAAATTCTCTTGTTGGTCCAAACTGCAGCCTGAGCCATTTCTTGAACTGATTA